CATGCATGGCATTAGATTAAGGAAATGGTACTTTCTTTTCCTCCAATCACCAGATGGTTCTAGAATCCAAAGGCAATGGAAAAGAAAGCCTAAATTTATCTAAGTGGCTGTCATTGAGGATTTATGGGAAAAATCATATTTTAGTACCTAGTAGGCAAATGCAAAAATAATTTCACAGCCAAATCCCATTTCACAAAGAGAAGAGACACAGTGTCCAAGGGTTAGAAGAGGCCTTAAATGTTACGGAGTTTATCTAGGGCCACCAATAATGTGGTACCTTGATAAGAAGGAGAGGCAGAAGGAGAAGGAGAAGGAGAAGAGGAGGAAGAGGAGGGGGAAGGAGGGGGAAGAGGAAGAGGAAGGAGAGGAAGAAGAAGAAGAAGAAGAAGAAGAAGAAGAAGAAGAAGAAGAACTACCACCCCCCAAAACAAAGAATAAACAAATACTAGAATTATAAATGGCTCATTTTTCTTACGTGCAATTTCAAATTTTAACTCAAATACCAGGAAAATGTTTTACAAAATAAGGGAAACAGTAGAAAAATATAGTGAAAGAAAATCTCCTTAAAAAAAATATCAGCATAATTTGTTAGCAGTACCTGGAGCTCACATGAATCAGGCAGTTCATATGCCTAACCACACTCTGAGAGGATGAAAACTTTCCAAAATGGAGCTTTGATAGTAGGAATGAAGACATCTTAGCTCAAATCAAGACAGCATCATTTGGGCCAGCCATTCAGTCTAAGGCAATGGGGTCAGTGTGAGGGTACAGTGGTAGAAAACAGAGTTCCTGCCTCCCAGAACTAGTGAATTTGGTCTGAGAAACTAGATAGTTACAGTATTAAGCACACCCAGTTTCTGATTTATATGTTCTCTGAAAGCAATTTGGCAGGCTCTGCCTTTGCAAGGGAAGTAGAAAAACATTTCATTCTTCTTTGATAGTGAGCTTTTTTTTAAAAAAAATTCATCTTATGACAGGAACATTTATTAATAAAGAAAGTATACTATAACTAAGAGGAAGAAGCTTAAATAAATTTTGGAACCAGGGAGGCAAAGAGTAAACAGGAGTATAAAGAAGGAGGAGTAAACAGAAGAGAAGGGAGGCAGACATGTGAGGAATGAGCAATGAGAAACAGCCCAGACCTTCAGACGGGACTCCGCCAGGAGTCTTATCTTCCAAGGGAGAGAACAATGAGGGAATTAAGAGATGGGGGAGAAGGAGATGACACAAACAGGAGACAGAAGACACATTGGCTTCTCTATCTTAGTTGCTTCCATACAAATTGAAACAAAATGGGAAGTGTAATGGAGCGGAGGAGAGATACATTTCAAATTGAGGGATAACTAAGAGTGCTTGTACAAATGACAAAATCAAAGTCTGGTCTAAATGAAATATGAAATTGAGTAACAAAGAATGAAATGGCTAAGATTTAAGAAAATCTGATCATAAAAACAAATTAGCCCATTCTGATTACTTAGATTTGAATTGTGAATGATTGGCTTTATCTTCACAGCACATGGTAAGGATCCAAGCTAATTTAGTGAGAACTATTACCATACATGGCACATAATTATTTTGAAAATGGTCCAGATATAAAGCTTTGTTTCTCGGAGGCAATGATAGTTGGCAATTTGGACCTAACAGAAGATTAAAATTTTGTAAGGAACCTTTAAAATGATTTTATCTCAGGCTTAGTAATACAAAGATTTATCGGTTATCTGTAATATGTTGTACATGCTCTAAAAGACTTCACATCAACAGCAACACTGCTTTCTCTCTACATATTACCTTTGAACTTCTTCAAATAGATCTCTATTTGAGCAAATAGTTTCCTTTAGAACAAAAACTACTGGCAAAAAATTTAATGTTTTCTAGAGATACGTTAAATATTAAAAAATCGAAAAATTGAAAAATCTGTAGAACACAGCCTGCTGGTGCATAGAATTTTCCAAACTCAATAACTACTCTCTTGTTTAAAAGACATTATAATATGCCACATAGCATCAATGAAGTGATCTAATGTTGACTCTTGTTTTCCATTTTTGCTGCCCCAGATGGGAGTCTGGGCCTAGGCCATCTGGGACAGTGACCACAAAAAGCAATTGGGACAACCCCTAAGGACTTTTGTCAAAGTGACTACATTCTAGACTTGGATCTTTAAGGGTTGGATTCCTGCCATATTCATTTCTCTATCCTGATAACTTGGCAGAGTGCCTAAATCATAGTCTTTATTATGGAAATGCCTTTGGAAAGAACTAGGTTCAAATCATACCTCTACCAGTTATGAATGAGGAAACAGTGGCCAACTTATTTATTTCTGAATTTCAGTTTCATCATCTGCAAAATGGAGATAAAAACAACTATCTTTCACAGTTGTCATGAGCATCAAATCAGGTTGTAGAATTCCAAGTACAGTGCTTGGAATACCCTGGAACTCTATACATGATGTGTATTTATCATAGTACCATAGAGAGGCAGGAATTCAGTTACCCACATATGGCTCATTACTCTACCCACACCTGTAGCTGATGAAGCCAGTCCATCCCAGCAGCTGCCTTCTGACATCTCAATTCTACTTGGAGTTTTTGAATGAATGTTTATATGGATATTGGGTGATTAACCTCAGGAAAGAGATTGACTTTGGGATCTTAGTTTCCGGTCCTTACCAAAAGAGTTCAATTCCATATTTATGTACTAGCTTGGTCAAGAGTGACTTCCTTGAGAGCTGTTGAGACATATGTTGAACTAATTCAACCCTTTAAGAGTAAGCTTGCAGAATTTTCTGGGGCAATATTGATACTGATTAGCTCAGCTGGCCACGCAGAGCTACTGGAAAACAAATTAGGTCAAACTCAGAGTGGCTTAAATATTTGTCAAGGTTAAAGAAAATGTTTTCATGTGTAAAGCTAACAAAAACATCAGCAAAAGAGCTGATATCATTGAGACGGTAGTGGAGAAATGGGATTTTCAACCCTTTCTCTTAAACCTAGCGCTTGACCTTGCTCTAAAAACTCATTATGAAGCATAAAACTATTGGATGAATTGGCCGTAAGATTCCCATCTGAGCTGTATGACTTCCATGTCAATCCACAGATGATAGTGCTTCTGGTCATTTAGAAAAATCAAATATTTTCAATAGGAGAGCAAGGAAGGAAAATCAAGGGTTATTTTTCCCAAGGTTTTTTTCCCTAATATTTTAAACGATTCCTGTCTCCTTGAGGATTTCAAGAGTTCTGTGGTTTATCTAACATAGTTAGAAATCACTTTAATAAAACCTGATAATGAAATATCTTAGTAAAGTCTTCTTTTACCAGGAGGTTTCTTACCCATGAGTTTTCCCCTTGAATTTCTAGAAGGAATGACACGGCTGTCCACAGTGTTTCCCAAACACCGCTGGCTAACCTCTTTCTTAGTGCTTTCCAATTTATATCAAAATAATCTGTTTGTCATCCCCACTAGACTAAATGGACTAAAGAATCCTCAAAAGCATATATATATATATATATATATATATATATATATATATATATGGCCATATATATGATGTGATAAAAAGCTATCATATATATATCTGTGTGTGTGTATCTATCTATCTATCTATCTATCTATCTATCTATGGTATCATATAAAAGCTAACACATGTATATAATTCATCTATGTATCTGGCACTTAATAGGCATTACAAATTATTGAATGGATAAATCAGTGGCTGATTATTCATTGAACAGAGCTATAAAGACATCTCTTATATGGCAAGATTTTTTTTTCATACTTAAAGTATATTTCAAAACATACAGTTTTTAAAAACTCACATCTTTAATAAAATAGTTAAAAATTTAGACTTTTATAAATTATTAAAATATATAATCATATTATCTGGCAAAGCAGAGCAATGGTCATGAATTACAAATACGAGAGGTTGGGAGTTAATTGGTATATTATTCCCTGGATTAGTCATGTGTATGGAAGGTATTCAATTCATCTGATTCCATAGAAAAGGAAAAAATATTTATAGCTCAACTTGCTTTCAATTGCAAATGAATTCCCATTACATACGTATCACATTTTTCTCTAACAGTAAAAGAATCCGTTTTTCACTTAATGGAAGTTTTTTCATTAACACTCAACTTCTGAGCTTCCCTTTTTGAGACAGGTATTGTAAAAGATAATGACAGATTCATAGAAAATTATTGGGTACTAGACCTGAAATCTTATGACTACCCACTTCAAAACTATATTGAAGCTCTAAAACAAAATTCCAACTCATTAGAACTTTGAGGTTTACTCTCAAACAGAAACAAACAAACAAACAAAAAAAAAAAAAAAAAAAAAAAAAAAAAAAAAAAAAAAAAAAAAAAAAAAAAAAAAAAAAAAAAAAAAAAAAAAAAAAAAAAAAAGAAAAAGAAAAAGAAAAATTTCTTTTTTATTCAAATAAATGTGAATTTAAAAATAATGTTGCTTGTGGTTGTGATACAAAATACGACTTTTCATTATAATAATGTGCCTTCCATTCCTTTCAGAGTATACCAGGGAACTTAGGTAATGTAATTTCCTTGTGGGCAATGAAGAAAAAAAGTCCTTGTGTGTAAAACTTTTTAAAATAACGACAAAAACAACAGCAACAGGAAACACTTATCACAAGATATTAGAACATAGATGAGATTACGTTTCAATTAGCCGTCTGACAGATTTCGTTCTTTCTAAGGGAAATTGTGCAGAGCCAGTCTCAAAAATTTTGATGAAAGAAGAAAAGAAAACTGCAATTTTTGCCACAAAAAGACAGGTGGCGTAAGCATGCAGCATTTTTCCCCCCTTAAATATATAAAGTGATTATTTTCTCTCGGGTTCTTTGAAAAAACTCGCCTGTGCTCCGGTTTGTGGCTGAGCCGGGTGACGTCAGTGTGGCAGTGCGGAGTCAGGCGCGGCGGCTCCCTATAAGCCGAGGAGCTGTCCGGGTGCTGAAACGGCCCGAGCAGCTCACCAGGCGGACTGGGAAGGACATGCTGTGGACCTCCTCTGCCATATAAAAAAGGGGTAAGGCTGCTTTTCCTTCGATTTACTGGAAAGTTCTAAATTGCGTGTTCTTTCCTTAAATCCTAGCTGAGAATAAAAAGACCTTTTATCTGTAGAATAACTGAATAGCAACCTGCTGCTCTTCAACCAATACAAGGACATATACTTATATATAGATAAATCTATATTTACATATAGAATTGAATCTATGATGTATACCATTTGCTGTTGGATATTTATAACCATTATGCTATTTAGATAACCATATGTAAGAAGTGTGAAAAAGTTAAGGATTTTAGTGTCAATACCCATATTAATGTAAAGTTACTAAGCCTGATATTTTGTTTCTTTCCTTAATGTATTGTTTGTTCTCTTAAGAACTAGATACAAAGCCAGAGATATAATTTTATGTTTAATATTCTTAGCAGTAGGTTTCCAATCATTCAAGGGCTGTTAAACACATTAGTCATAGAGGCAACCAATTTTGGAACTAGTTTTTCTTATTTTCTTTGACATTTACCTTACAAGAGCTCAAAATGAATAAATTGTCTAAAATTATTTTCTGAATTGATACTCTCTGAAAGGGCTTACGTTCTTATTCCCCAGTTTTAGTCCCAGGAGAGTAAAATTAGAATTATCCTGAGTACAGGCTTTTCCTTTTATTCAGGGTGCAATATTATCTTGGGGTATAGGTTGGATGTGACCACGAATTATAGAGAGATGATAATTTCGAATTTCCATGAGGAAAACATTCATAACTGTGTAAGATATTTTTATTATGTTTAAATGAAAGAGGTGGTACAATATTTTACTGTAAATTTTTAATGGGACTAGTGTTTCTTTTTTCTCTGTCCTAATTAGTAGAATTGCTCAAATTAGATATATCCATCTGTATTTGTCAATGCTCCAGTCTGATTTCAATAGAAAAGACATTTTAGCTTACGAAGCTTTAGTTCAAATTGTACATAAGATATTAGAGCTGTCGAAACCATCTTTAGTATGTAGAAGAGCTGCTACCTGGGAAAGAAATCCCTCGAGACTTACTCAAAGGCAATAACTATGTCATCCAAACTGAACCTTATAAATGACCAAAGAATAGCATGTGTTAGGCTGTGGTTTAAATCACTGCATGATGTATTCTTCCCCAATTCCACAGCAAAGCCCATCTCCAAGATAAAGATTTCAAAGACAAGCACATAACTCATATGTTAAGACTACTTCAGGATACTGGTTTCAAAGAAAATAAGTTCATTAAGATTCTTAAAACTACTATTTCAAATGCCAATGTTGGAAATAGATCATCAAAGCTAAATTAATCCTGAAATAATATAAAGAAGAAATTAGAATGTACTTTTATTTAAATCTAAGAATTTACACTTCTTTAAATGTTACAGTTTCTTACAGGAAACATTAATTCATAGTAAACATTTGAAGAGTTTTCTCTGACATGCCTTTAAAGGTTTTTTTCTTTCAGTAAATTAAGTAGTCTGATTAATGGGAAACATTTTAATAAATATGCATTTATGGTAAAGAAATTTCTCTAACTACAACCATTGGTAGGTCTAAAAACTGAAATATTACTTAAAAACCAAAATGCTCTAGTGAAAAATGATATTTTCTACAATTGATGTCTAAGCTAACAGAAAATTGTGTCCATAAAACTTAGCTTATATATCACAAAATCATGATGCAAGTAAGATATCATGAACAAACATGTGATCTTTCCTTACATTTATTTGCAACAAAATTGCAAATATTAAAATCATTTTTCAATGTTAGCAATGTTAATGTAAAACATGTAAAAAATAATCCCCTTGCTAATTCATATGTGAGATTATGAAGCATTGGAGAAAAAAAATGAATGAAGATTTTTAAGTAGGAAGAATTCAACATATTGTCTGTGTTTATCTAAATGGGGAGTTACATAGTGGTTATTTTAAGATTTTCTAACAGTATGAGTCATTTAAGATTTCACAGGTCCACACCAAAATAGACACAGACATAAGTCAAGCTGAATCTGAACACTCACAAATTCAGAAATAGACTGGTTAAGAAAACTTATGTTCTCTCTGAAGCATCTGTTATTATTTACTATGTATTCTTAAAGGCTGATGAAAAATATAACCATGATTGCATTTTGCAAGACAGTCATGAACAAAATTATTAGAAGAAATATGGAACACAGACATTTTAAAAGTTTACTTTCTTAGCGTGTTTACACAGGAAGAAACTTCACTAGGTTAGCCTGCTAGCTGGGACCAGAGAAGATCCATATTCTGGAGATTATTAAGGTATAGAACTTTTAAAATTGACAGTTGGGTTTAGTGTCAGTGTAAGAACAAGTTATTTCTGAAAAATATATGTAAGTAGGATTCATCCATAAGGAAATTCAGTATGATTGATGTTAAGATGCTGTATTACTTCATCATATGTAATGTCACTGCTGTGGTGTTTCTACAACAAAATTAGATGGACAGTTCAAGAACTAACCCACATGGTTTCTTGATACAACCTTAAGGAAATCATTCAGTGTGTGTGTGTGTGTGTTTGTGTGTGTGTGCGTGTGTGTGTGTGTGTGTGTGTGTACATGTGTACATACATACATCATGTTTTAAATTAGGGCAACTAATTTTTTTGGCCAATGATTTTGGTAGGAATGCTCTACAAGAGAACTAAAAGTCACCTTGGAAATTTTTTATTAATGCATACTTTAAAAACATACTTTAATGCATTATTAATGCATACTTTAAAGACAATGCACACTTTAAAAAAAGACAAACTACATGTTTTGCAAATTAAAAAACAAAACCTCACATCAGTCTTTTGGTTATTATTTTAACCAAGTGAATGCCGTGCAAAATTGATGTAGTTGGGTAACAATTTCACTGGATTCCTGCAGTTAGCTTGTGAGGGGTTGTATAGGAAATATGTATGGCTTTTAAAAAGAGTCATCCTAAGTTTAATGTGAAACAATCTCTGCCATGTGTTGTCCCTCAATGGTCAGTTACTGCTTTTGCTATAGTGACTTCTAGTTTTCCATTTGTGTTAATTCATATTTTCTATGCTTTAGGGACATCTTTCAAACATGGCAGAAACTAAGACTCACCGGCTTGGAGCAGCTCTGTCTCTGATCCCTTTAATTTTCCTCATCTCTGGAGATGAAGCAGCTTCATTTCAGCGAAACCAGCTGCTTCAGAAGGAACCAGACCTCAGACTGGAGAATGCCCAAAAGTTTCCCAGTCCTGAAATGATCAGAGCTTTGGAATACATAGAAAAACTCCGACAACAAGCTCACAAAGAAGAAAACAGCCCAGACTACAATCCCTACCAAGGTATCTCTGTTCCTCTTCAGAAGAAAGAAAATGGTGATGAAAGTCACTTGCCAGAAAGCACAAGGGATTCTCTGAGTGAAGATGAGTGGATGAGGATAATACTTGAAGCTTTGAGACAGGCGGAAAATGAGCCTCAGTCTGCACCAAAAGAAAAGCCCTATGCTTTGAATTCAGAAAAGAACTTTCCAATGGACATGCCTGATGATTACGAGACTCAACAATGGCCAGAGAGGAAGCTCAAGCACATGCGATTCCCTCCTATGTATGAAGAGAATTCCAGGGATAACCCCTTTAAACGCACAAATGAAATAGTGGAGGAACAATATACTCCTCAAAGTCTTGCCACACTAGAATCTGTGTTCCAAGAGCTAGGGAAACTGACAGGACCAAACAACCAGAAGCGTGAGAGAGTTGATGAGGAGCAAAAACTTTATACAGATGATGAAGATGGTATCTACAAGGCCAATAACATTGCCTATGAAGATGTGGTTGGGGGAGAAGATTGGAACCCAGTAGAAGAAAAAATAGAGAGCCAAACCCAGGAAGAGGTAAGAGACAGCAAGGAGAATATAGAAAAAAATGATCAAATCAATGAAGAAATGAAGCGTTCAGGGCAGCTGGGCCTCGAGGATGAAGATCTCCGGAAAGAGAGTAAAGACCAACTCTCAGATGATGTCTCCAAAGTAATTGCCTATCTGAGAAGGTTAGTGAATGCTGCAGGCAGTGGGAGGGCACAGAATGGGCAAAGCGGGGAAAGAGCAACCAGGCTTTTTGAGAAACCACTTGATTCTCAGTCTATTTACCAGCTGATTGAAATCTCAAGGAATTTACAGATACCCCCTGAAGACTTAATTGACATGCTCAAAACTGGAGAGAAGCCAAATGGATCGGTGGAACCCGAGCAGGAGGTGGAACTTCCTGTTGACCTAGATGACATCTCAGAGGTTGACGGAGACCGTCCAGATGCTTTCCCAAACAAAATGCTCTCCAAGAATGGTTATTCCAAAACACCCGGTCGTGCTGTGGCACAGGCCCTACCAGAGGGGCTAACTGTAGAGGACATTTTAAGTCTTTTAGGGATGGAAAATGCAGCAAACCAAAAGCCTCCATATGTTTCCAGTCAGTACTACCGAGAGAAAGTTCTGCCCAGGCTCCCCTACGGTCCTGGAAGATCTGGAGCGAACCAGCTTCCTAAAGGTGCGTGGATGCCAGATGTTGAGAATAGACAAATGGCATACGAAAACCTGAGTGACAAGGATCAAGAATTAGGAGAGTACTTGGCCAGGATGCTAGTGAAATACCCTGAGATCATGAATTCAAACCAGGTGAAGCGAGTTCCAAGTCAAGTCTCCCCTGAAGATAACCAACAGGAAGAGGACCAAATTGAGCAGGCCATCAAAGAGCAGTTGAATCAAGGTAGCTCTCAGGAGACTGAAAGACTGGCATCGGTAAGCAAAAGGCTCCCTGTGGGGCCCCCAAAGAATGATGATACCCCAAACAGACAGTACTTGGATGAAGATCTGTTAATGAAAGTGCTGGAATACCTCAACCAAGAAAAGGTAGAAAAGGGAAGGGAGCATATTGCTAAGAGAGCAATGGAAAATATGTAAGAGTTTTCATCAATTGCCCTACTTTCTTCCTCGAACCCCAAGAAAACCCCAACATTTCTCTTTAGTGTGTTGACTTCTATCCTGTTAACACTGTAATATCTTTAAATGATATAAAGGCAGATGATTCCATTTCACTGGGGTATCTGCTTCACTTATTCTGAGTTGTTCTCTTGTGTATGGATATGTGTCAATGTTATGACTTCTGGATAAAAATTAATCATATCCCTTAATCAAGAAAGATATGTGTGATAGTGTTTAATAGTGTATTTAATGGCTGTGGCCTTGTTGATGCTCACATATTATAAAGAGTATCCTATAATTCTCTGGAAAGTTTTTAATAATTATTGAATTATTTTGTTACTGTCTGTAGTGTTTTGTGAAGTATTGGATCAAAAAAATAAAGCATTATAAATATATAGTTTTATTCATAAGGCCTTTTCTATTGTGTGTTTTATTGTTGATTAATAAATGTTATTTCTCGACAACTGTGGACTATTCATTCTGGAAAGCCGGAGACAGCGACTATGGAGCACAAAGAGAAATTCCTTACCTTCCACTGCCAACCCAGGTAAGAAATAAGAGGAAATGTATTATTATGCTGCATGCTTATAGAATGCAAACCCTCCAACAGCCCAGAGCTTACTGCTTGCCTATGGCTTTTCTCATATATATGACTTATGGAATAAGCCTTTTACTGTCATAGTTATACCTTGTACCCCTGATTTATAAGTAAATAAATACACTTAAGTCTTCCAGACCCATAACCAGCATTGAAAAACAAACACAAACAAACAAACACACTGTGTTCAGGCCAATCAGAAATAACTACAGACTTGGAAGCAACTTACCTATTTCCAAATCACTCTGGTCCTCAGAAGACAAGGCTGATGCCTCTTTTGTATGATTTGACAAGGGCTAAAGGACCCCCGGACTGTCAGGTAAGTGAATGGGCACAGGAACAGTGGAAAACATCAGCTGCCCTCTCTTTTGCCGCTGGTTCTTGAGAAAATCCTGAGTGGGCTAGGCAGTGTCTACTTGTTACAATGTGTATCACGTTGGGAGAGTGATATCAGCATTCAGCCTGCTAACAGATCAACAGGGAATCAACAACAATAGCAAAAACAGCAACCGCAGGAAAATACATACGGCCACAAAATAGTCATAGTTGTAAAAGAAACAAGGAAATAAGTAATTACTATTTACTGAATGTTTATAATGCACCAGGCCCCAAACACTTGACCTCATTTAGTCTGTACTGTAACGTTGTCAAGGGTCTCTTATTATCCTTCTTTTTACATCAGGGAAGGCAAAACTCAGAAAGGTTAAATAACTTTCCCAAAGACACTTGGTTTTATGAGTTACCAAAGCCTGGTTTCTTCACCACTTCACTACTTTGCCTCTATGGGAAGTGCCCTATCAGCTGAGTTGGGACTTTGGAGGCGGGATGGTGAGAGGCTCATGAGGATCTAGTATAAGTTATTTCCAAGTGAGGGCACTTGTGGTGGTGGGGTGTGTGTGTGTGTGTGTGTGTGTGTGTGTGTGTGCGCGCGCGCGCCAGGTGTAGGGAGGAGAGGCAACCCTTGAATGGTCAGAAGGCAATGAGAAGGCCTGTATACCTTAGGGAAAACACAGAATGTAGGTTTTTCTTTACAATTTTGTCCACACATCCTTTCCTTTCCTTTCCTTTCCTTTCCTTTCCTTTCCTTTC